ACACACACACACACACACACACACACGCATCCCTAGCCTGGCTGTGGAATCAGGCTAAAAAATTTAAAACTGTTGCACCGAATGACTTACTAAGAGGTGAGAGGTTATTAAAGATCCAATTACTGGGATTGCCTAGAGCTTTTCCTTTTATAAACTCTAGTGCCATTTGTTTCAAACAATGAGCTGATCTGAGAAAAGCCTCCCAACCACAAATCCAGGACAGCCATGTCAAGACAGAGCTATACGGTTACTAAGAAAACTTGCTTTAAAACCATCTAAAGTCTGTATACATTCCATCAAGCAGATGTGTGTTTGCGCAGTGAAAATGCGGCACAGATGTTAAAAGGTAAATATTTTTCTAAGCTCTAGCCGATGGGTGGATTAGACACCTACATCTATCAGGGTGCGTATTTTCCTTGGATAGGACCATAAACCAGCACCGTTTCAGTCCTCAGTGGGCAGTGTTCAGATAGCCTCCCTGATGCAGTGTGAATAAAAGAAACCCATCTATACTAATGTTCCTCTCCAGCGCACGGGCCTTAGAGAGTGGCCTTTCCTCTGGCCTCTGTAGCTGGAGGTTAAGACAGATTTCTGCAAGACTCTGACAGCCCTTTAGCAGCCTGTCTGGGCTGGGATAAGAGGAAAGGATGCTGGCTGCAGTTTTGCCCGTGGAAAAATACCCAGTGCAGAGGTGGCTGTGCCCTCCCTCCCATCATTACTCCTACACCACCTCAGCAAAGCCACAACCAAGCCTCAGGGACCACAACGGTATCATACCCCGAGGAGTTTCAGAGGGACTGACTGAGAGGTCTGGGGGTGCTCTGGGGTCCTGTGCTGGTGTCCCAGAGCTGAGGGAGCAAAGCATGCTCACTTCCCCTGCGTGCCATCTTACTTGACCCTGCCCCAGCTCTGCTCCATAGAAGCAGGGCCAGTAGTGGGACCACACCAGCACCCAGACATTGACCAAGCAGCAGAAAGGAAGCTGGAGAAAGCCAGCCCTTGAGGATGGCGTTTGAAAATCAGAACGAGCAGAGCCAGGGTGGAATGAAGCCACCAACTACCCCTGACCCTTCACCATTTTCTTAGCTACTACAACCCAGCAAGCTGATGGGAAGCTGAGGCCTTGCTTCCTTAGACTCAAGGTCTGTGGCGCCTGTAGTCTTAAGCTTGAGCACTGCTATGATCCCAGTAGGCACCTTCCAAAGTCACAAGGCTGGGGCGCAGTGGAGCTGCAAAAGTGTCAGCATCCAAGATCCCCGCTCTAAAGAGCATGCACTTGTCATCAAACTCAACACACTCATCCTCCAAATGCATGCACTGCATTACGTTTTTATCTGTTGAGTCATGGACTGCACATCTAACATGTGCTCAGCACAAAACTAGGCACGGTGTCAGGGGTTGAGGGTGGGGACCTGCCCTGGAATTGCTTATAATCTTATGGAGGAGAAAAAGCAAACACACAAGAAATAACAACAATCTTAAAAGATGAAATCATCAGGAAGCCAAGGCGGGCAGATCACCTGAGGTCAGGAGTTCGAGACCAGCCTGACCAACATGGTGAAACCCCTCCTCTACTAAAAATACAAAAATTAGCCAGGCGTGGTGGTGCACACCTGTAATCCCAGCTACTCAGGAGGCTGAGGCAGGAAGATCACTTGAACCTGGGAGGCAGAGTTTGCAGTGAGCCAAGATCATATCATTGCACTCCAGCCTGGGCGACAGAGCAAGACTCAAAAAACAAAACAAAACAAAAAAGATGAAATCAGACACTCATGTGTGTGGCATAGATTATTAACGCAATCAAAATTCAGAGGCCAATGAATTGAGAAAATGCTGCAACTAGCACAGTACTTTGAATGAAATTCTAGTATTTTTCTGTTGGTGATTCTGATGCTCTCCTTTTGCCATTTTAGTCCCATAAACTTCAGAAAACGGAAATGTGTTGGCTGTCTTTCATGACGTTAAAGAGAATTTCAAAGAAGGGATGTTCTAGGAATAGGCTCTGTTAACACAGAGGCAATATAGAAACACTCCTATTGTTACAATGAGTAATAGTGAAAATATGAAGAATATGCAAATGACTGATAAAGAAGGTAGGGAAAATGGAAAGAAAGCTCTAACTACTTAAATGGGGGTAGGGGATTACTGAGAAAAAGAGGGAACCGATGTGAAGATCTGATAGGAAGGCTAGGGGATGAAGAAGGCAAAGCCTGGAGACCTTGAAGACAGGCACCGCCAAACTAGTCCCCTCCCCTTGCCCCCACTTCTGTTAACTTTCTACTGTGTGAGCAAACCTGGTGGCTGCCCATCTAAGTTCTAAGCTGCACATAGGCGAGCAGTACAGCACATGCTTGGTTTTAAATCTATGTGATGTTTTCATTGTTTTATTGTTGGAAAACCAACCACCAACCAACAGTACCAAAATGCATGAAGTAAAAAATATAAGCCCCCTCCTGGTTTCCCTGCCTCCTCCAGCTCATTGTGAACTGTTGGGTGGGGGCATTGCTAGAACTGTCTATGCATAGACTGATACAGGTGATGATATATTTAGTACATTTGCTGTTTTTGCAGAAACGAGAGCCACTGTGCATACTGTTCCATGACCTGCTTTGTTTTACTTACCAAAGTGGTTCAATGACTTTCAAATTAGCCCAGATAGAATGGCCTCTGCCTTGCTCAGGGCAGCAGCCCAGGCTGCTCTTCAGTGCCCCAAAACCTGCCTGACCGGTGCTATACTAAGGGACATTCAGGTGGCTTCCAGGTTCTCACCGTCCCAGATAACCCAGCAATGAGGAACCTTGTTCCTACTGAGCTGTTCAAAAGCTACGCCCATCTATCTTCCTCTTTTGTTCTCCAGGAAGCCTCACTTTGCATGACTGTAAGGTCAAAATGTGCATTTTCCTCCTTTTGTCCCTTAGAGGCGCAGGGACTTCCTCCAAATGGTCCTGGATGCCCGACATTCTGCAAGTCCCGTGGGCGTGCAAGACTTTGACATGGTCAGAGATGTCTTCTCCTCTACCCGGTGCAAACCGAACCCTTCCCGGCAACACCAGGCCAGGCCCATGGCCAGGCCTTTGACTGTGGATGAGATTGTGGGCCAGGCCTTCATCTTCCTCATCGCTGGCTATGAAATCGTCACCAACACACTTTCTTTTGCCACGTACCTACTGGCCACCAACCCTGACTGCCAAGAGAAGCTTCTGAGAGAGGTGGACCTTTTTAAGGAGAAACACGTGAGTACAAGTTGGGTCCAGTTACCCATGGGATATCCGTAGGACAACTGATTTTGTGTTTGTGGAAGTGAAACTTATTTTTAATAACTTGCTAATATCACATTCTAAGCTTATAAGATGAAATAGGGTCATTGTTCGGCTTCTCCCGCTCTCCGGGTTAGCAAGTGAAATGGAATGTTGAGAACGACAGTCACAACAAAAAGACAAATTGTGTGTGCACCTTCGCTGTCTGGGGTAGTCCACGAAGCCAGGCCTGGCTGGAGGAAGCTGTGGAAGCTCAGGAAGGAGTCAGGCCCAAAGGGCAGGGTTCGGAAGGGAGTTATGGCTTCCCAATATCTGACTTGGAGCTGCCAAACAGAGGGACGCAGGTGTGAGCCAGAAAAGAGAGCTAAGCTGGAAGGCAGGAGTGGACAAAAGGACAGGCCAAGCTGAAGCTGGACTGAAGACTGGAAGCTGAGGAGGAGGCTCACAAATGGATAAGATGGGGCCCGTCAGCGCCCAGGCCAGATTCTGGGCATTTCTTCTAGATGAGGCTCCTCTTGATCTCTTGTAGCAGATATAATGAGGGCGCTGGGCAAGACTACTTTATCACCTCATTTTTTCCTCTGGATGCTTGTGTGTGTATAACTTTGGTTCGTGAGTTGTTAAAGAGATTCATTTTTTAAACCTGTGCTTTAAAAGGAAGACCACCACAATGGAATGCTTTCTATTACATTCTGATATGATTGCTATTACATTCTGATATAATTGCTATTACATTCACAGTTTTGGAAGGTGGTCTGTTCTGTTACTGGAACCATTAAAAAATGTTTCACACAATGAACTGAAAACCACTTCCCAGGAAATTCTGCTTTTTTCTTCTACTGGGGAAGTAAAGGCAAAGTCAGTGTCTTTTCTTCACAGCAGTTTTTTAATATTTGAAAACTGCATTCACTGTGTTACTAATTAATTGTCTTAACTTTAGGCTCAACATTAGCTTATGGTCAACTTCAAGTTCTAAGTAGTTATAACAACTGCCACGCTGGGCCTTTCCAAACCCTGCTTACACAATTGATTTATTGAGCCTAGACGCAAGAGTTTATATTTATCCTTATTACTGTTCAAGTCAGTCAAAATAATTTTGAATCTTGATTCTGCCATCTGTTGTATTAGCAATTCCTCCAGCCTCGTGTCATCTGAGACTTACTAAGCATGTCTCCTATTTCATCCAAGTCATTGATTAAAATGTTGAACAGGACAGGACTTCCCTCCAGATTGACATTGATCCATTAATCAATATTCTTTGGGCATGGAATCTCAACAAGTCATGAATCCAAATAACCCTGCAACCCATCTTATTCTGTTTTATATGCAGTGGTTTATGTATTTGTTCTTAAATTGAGGAAAGGGGAGAGGGAGGGACCAACGGTGACTAGGGGGCATTAGCGCAAAAGAAGTAAAACTAGCTTGAAGGGAGGCAATCTATTAGGATGCATTTAGTTGCAGATAACAGAACCCCAACCCAACTGATTTAAGCAAAACAAAAACAAAAGTAAAAACAAACAAAAAGACTCATAACTGTGTATTTCTGAGTCCATTTAATTGAGCAGCTCAGGAATAGATACCGCTCCAGGCGAATCTCTGTCTAGGTCTCAGACTGGTGCACAGGTCCGTTTCAGTCTCCCCAGTTCTTGGCTGTGCTATCTTATATTGGCCCCATACTCCGTCATGCTGTCCTCTCAAAGCCCCAAGAAGCCTGTCAAGAGTGTCTGGGACTACACACTTCCTTGCTTGTAACCAATGGAGAAGAGAGGGTGTGTGGCTTAAAATTCCCAGACAGAGTCACCCTGACGAGAATGCTTAGGTCGCTGCCCTTTTTTTTTTTTTTTTTTTTTTTTTTATAAGTTTTGGTACACACACTGGAGTGCGATGTTGCCCAGTCAGCTCACTTCACAGGTTGAAGAAGTCCTCAGGCCCTCTCTAGCCCATTAGTCTGTTTTTTTTTTTTTTTTTTGAGGTGAAGTTTCACTCTTGTTGCTGAGGCTGGAGGGCAATGGCACAATCTGGGCTCACTGTAACCCCCACCTCCCGGGTTCAAGCAATTCTGCCTCAGCCTCCCAAGTAGCTGGCATTACAGACATGTACCACCACAACTGGCTAATTTTGTATTTTTAGTAGAGACGGGGTTTCACCATGTTAGTCAGGCTGGTCTCGAACTCCCGACCTCAGGTGATCCGCTTGCCTCGGCCTCCCAAAGTGCTGGGATTATAAGCGTGAGCCACCACACCTGGCCCGCTGCCCATTCTTGAACCAACTCCTCTGCAGCAAGGGGAATGGGGTCCCTGATAGGCTTACACCAATCAGACTCCAGCCCTAGGTCAATCATGCTCAAGTCAATGACTGAGAACTCAGGAAGGTGACTTCTCAAAGGAAGCTTAGCATGCTGTCCCAGGAAGGCATTGGAGGGAAGTCCAGCACTCTGGTCTCAGTAAACCAGAAAGCACTTCAAATTAAGGGCTTTGAAGCATCTAATGAGTGTCCAGCAGTGTAGTAGACACGGCAGAGGCTAGGAGAGGGGGCAGAAGCTCTAAGAGACAGAAGTCAGATCCTCATCTTGCAGGAATTCAATCACCAATTGAGAAGCAATGTTATGTCTATGAAACAATATCTTCCTTCCAAACACAGGCCTGCAGGGCAGTAGAAGGCAGCAGATAATCAGGTCTAGAATGTGTGGTGTCATTTAGAGAGCCACGGGACCACAGGAGTCGGTCCCACCAGCTATAACCATAGTCACATCCAGTTATGTCAATCTGCCAGGAGGACACAGCAAGTGTTTCCATTCAAAAGCCCTCACGCATGCACCCTTTACCTCTGGCACAGCCTTCACTGGCCATGACCTCAAGGAGGGTGTTGTCTCACCACACCCTGGCCTCCTTTAATGCCCCCAGCCTAGGAGCAGGGCTCTTCCTCCCAGAGGACCACATGTTAGGCCACGCACAGTGGCTCAAGGCTATAATCCCAGCACTTTGGGAGGCCAAGGTGGGTGGATCACCTGAGGTCAGGAATTCGAGACCAGCCTGACCAACACAGTAAAACCCCATCTCTACTAAAAATATAAAATTAGCTGGGCGTGGTGGCACATGCCTGTAATCCCAGCTACTCAGGAGGCTGAGGCAGGAGAATCACTTGAACCAGGGAGGCAGAGGTTGCAGTGAGTGAAGATTGTGCCATTGCACTCCAGCCTGGGCAATAAGAAAGAAACTCCGTCTCAAAAAAAAAAAAAAAAAAGAGACCCACATGTTATTATGGGGCTGTACAGAATGTTGCAAGGCACTGAGAGCCCTTGGTCAAATAAACAGATTACAGCAGGTCAAATTTTTGAGTTTAGTGTGCATAAAACCATAAGGGAAGACTGCTTAGAATGGACATTCCAGGGTCCTGACCTCAGGGGTTCCAATTCCATAAGTCTGGGCTGGGGCCCAGGAACCCGCGTTTTATTTTTATTTTTTTGAGATGGAGTCTCGCTCTCTCGTCCAGGCTGGAGTGCAGTGGTGCAATCCTGGCTCACAGCAACCTCTGTCTCCTGAGGAACCCACGTTTTAAGTAAATGTTTCCAGTGATTCTGATACAGGTGGTCCCTGGTTCCACTTTGAGAAGACAGCCTTAGATCCTCAAGGGCTCAGATCCCTCTTCCAAGAAAAAAAACAGGGTTCAAAGCCCTCCTAAGCCATGCAAGCCCCAATGTGATTTTCTTCCTGTATGTAATAGCTGGTTGTTGGGGGGGAGTCTCTGAAAAATGGGAATATCTACAGCTGTCTTTTTCAAAACATACATTTGGTAGTCACAATAATGTTGCTTTGCATAGCCTTGCACATGGCACCCACTCAATGAATATTGGTAGGTTTTCTTTTTTTCTTTTCTTTCTTTCCTTCTTTTATTTTTTTAATTTTTTTTTTTTTTTTTTTTTACTATAATCAGAGCTCTGTTAATATGGGCCATCTGTCAGGACATGGAAATGCAGATTAGATGTTCACACATTAGATATTTTCCTGAAAATATTCCTGAAAATTTGCATGTAAAGTATGACTTGTTATAATTTTCCTGCTGGTTTCCATTCAACAAATATTTCTTGAGTGCCAGTTAATGCCAGACTCTGGGGCTCCAGCCCTACGCACGAGGGTGTTCTGGTCTAGCTCTTCTGTGACATCCCTGTAGAGCATCCCCATGCCTCATTAGATGGCCTTCCCTTGTATTTGTCAATGAGATTGTTTAATTTGAGCTCTAGAGTTTCTTCTCTCCGAGCAATTTCTTTCATAGCAATGCACCATGGGAATCTGATGAGAGCTACATCCCTTCCTCCAAGAAAGAGCAGATATGTGTATGGCATCAGTTCAGACTCTTCTGTGGACAGTGATAGAAAATTCAGCCCGAATTGTCTCAGGGAGCTTACTGACCTCTATAACTGAAAAGTCCAGAGGGCAGAGCTGCCTTCAGGTATGGCTTGATTCAGGGGCTCAAGCCCTGTCCAGGTTGTTCTCTCTCCCCATCTCTCAGCTCCAGTTTCTCTGGGCATACTCCCTTCTCAGGCAGATCTCCCCTAGGGGTCTCAAGACAGCTGTGTAACCAGTGTTCTGAACAGTCTGAACTCAGTGAGGTACCTACTTAAAACCATTCAGTGTTTTTTTTGTTTTGTTTTGTTTTGTTTCATTTTTTTCCTTTAAATGTGCTCTGATGAATCTCCTTTCCCTGTCCATGATGATACCTTGGACAGATCTCAATGATTTCTGGTCATTTTGGGGGGCATTAAAAAGTCCAGGCCAGTCTGACCCACATGAAAACTTCAGTCTCAAATCCAACCAGTGCTCTTCTGTTCTCGTAGCTCAGGCTGACCTGTGGCCTGAGGATACTGACCTGGGGAGGAGTGGTCTGTTTCTTCCCCTTCCTTCTATTCCTCCCCCACCCCTGCTGGTTCCCCTTCTCCTACAGGAGTGGGGCCTGTGAACGGATCCCCAAATCCTGCC